TAAGCAGTTGAAACCAAAAGCCATTAAGACAGCTATTTGCATGGTAGCATTACAATTACCGTGCAAATTCTCCCCAGGGCAATTATCCAAACATGTAAAATAGCACAAAGTGCGCAATACTGCTCGAGAAGGACAACCTTATATCAGGCCAACCTCAGACTCCTTAGTGATGAGAACCTAGGCCTAGGAGCCACAGGGATTCTCAGAAAAGACCTATCATGGAACAGATATCTGAAAGATGCAGAAGATTTGAGAGGAAAAAACACTTAGAAAAAGACACACAGTAATAAGACACTAGTAGGTATAACAAGAGACTGGCTTATACAAAAGAAAACCCTGATACACTCCCCTTTCCTCCCCCCATAGTTAGGATGTGACCACCTGCACAAACAGGGCTGGTCCCTTCATGACTGATATAAACAAACAGTAGCCTCCTAAAAAATGCTGGTTCATATTACTATGAACTTAATAATGTCTACACAGAAAAAGGCATCACAAGATACTAACAGTGGATCTCGTTCTGAATGAAACAGCTTGGGTACCAGGTGTGGTGTATGTTTTATTTTACGGCATTATACTACTTTTGACATATATTAATTTGAATGTTTTCTTTCCTAACAGTTCATTATATCATACAGACATTCTCTTAAATTGTGCCAACTGCTTAAACTATTTTAATCATGCTGTTCAGAGACCAGATGAGTTAAATGGACTTCACTCACTGCTAATAATGTGAGCCAGGCTGAAAAAAGGTATTTCAGAAAGAAGAGGATTTGGGGCTAGGAACAGAGGGAAGAAGACAACACTTGATAAATTATGCTTATTGACACAGTCTTTGAAGGTAACTATCTGGTAGCCTTCTGCAGCAGGGGCATAATAGTTTGCCAGCTTATTAATGTATAAAAGATAAAAACTGGCTACTGATGCAAATGCAACTCTGGAACCCAGTAATCTTATAACATTAACATCACTGTTAGAGGTTATGCCCTCAGAGCTTGTCTATCAACGTAATGAAGGTAAGGTAGGCTTACTACCAGCAAACTTAAACCAAAGCCCACATTTTTGTATGTAGCACATCTTAACTAAACCATGCTAACTCCCAGAAAGATGCAATTTTATTAACTTTTAAAAAATTCATTATGAGTTTGTAAACCATGATGTTATACGAAGCTTCTTACTTAATATCACAAAATTTATCAAGGCATACTACCTCATTAAAAACTAAAATTAAATCTTCCTGATCTTCATTTATTGTACCCTTCTGTTTTTCCATCTACCACATGTTTTTTACATATGTTTGGTTTGGATTGCAATAAGCAAGAATCAAACCCATAAAAATTGCATAGGATCATATCTTACAATTCTAGTAAATACAAAATAAAAGATAATACTAATGCATGTAGTGGAGAATCAATAACAAAGTAAAACAGGATGAGAACATTAAAAAGGTGTCTTACTTGATAAGCAGTGTTATTAAAATCAAGTGAAGCACACTCTTCTATAATATTGAGACTGCCTGCCACAATCACTAAACACTGATTAACGTCTTAATTGATCAGATCTTTTAATTTAACAAACCTTTTTTTTTTCCATCTGTACTGTTATTATTTTATCTAGGGAAAGGTCAAGTAAGTTACTTGTATTTTATGGGGAATATAAAGAATTAAGACCAAATAATGTTTTAAAATGCTATCTAGGCATCTTCAAACATTTTCTTAGGACAAACTTAATTTAGGAAAGTAGCCTATCTAAGAACGGTTTGGTTTTGTTAGGCTTTTAGTTTGGTTTGGTTGTTTTTTTTTTTAAAAAAAAAACACCACAGAAGTTGTAATTATATTCTTTTTAGAAAGTCAATTCATACTATGGTTTATATATGCACAGAAAGAGTGAAGGGGCTGGAACCCGACTGTACTTCAATCATCTGATCAACATTAACAGAAATTGTTATTTCCAAGAGATCAGAACACGTATCTTGTGCCAGAGATACAAAGTTACAAGGGTGTCAAAAACCTAGCCGTTTCAGTTGAATATTATACTTCATTAGTCATGTGAAAGAGAAAAGAAATTCTGACTTTGAATTTGCAAGTGACAATTAGGGGAACAATTATATGAGAACACAAATTGAGTACAAACACTACAAAAGTCACACTGAAGTGAGAATGAAAATTCACAGAGACCTCTTTACATTCCCTTTCAAAGTAACATTGTCCGTTGTACACAATACACTTTCTAGAGTTACTACAATAACTTACTGATTCTTTAAACGAGACAAAAGTTTCATATAACATTTTATGAATAACTTTTTATTGCTACCAGAAAACTTAGAATACAGAATATCCTTGTTACTTTATCGTTCACATTTTTTATGGTCAGTCCTTTTGCAGAAATCAAGCAATACAAAGGGGTCTTGAAGTCCACATAAATATAATCTATTCCAACACATCATAGCTCCTTTACACTGTCAGAATGGCATTCAGCTGCCTTACTGTAAATAAAAGCATGAATCGGGTTTGTGTCTTACTGTTCAACGCTTTGAATTAATGCAAACTTTTTCATTTATTCAGTCTAGCCAGATCATGATGAACTGAAATCAGATGTCCAAGACTGATATCATAAGCAATGTATCTTGAAAATATTCATCATGAGATACAGAAATTCGTTAAAACACAAATCAGGCTCAAATTCTGCAAGCAGTTACACATAGTGCTATTGCTAGAAGCAGTCCAGGTGCAGCCAAAGGGATCAGTCCCAGTAGTAAAATTGCATCTGTACATATGGTACGTTCTTGCACAGTTATACCCTCAATTTTTCATGTTACCTGGCTAAATTGAATCAAGGTACAGTGGTTAGAGCACATATTCTACAACACTAAGGCACCTGATATTTAGCTATCAGGTGTTATTAAGTCTTTATTTTATTTTGTTTTCCAGAGTACAGAACAAGCCTATCATAAACAAGCATCTGAGTAGTTCAGCTGAAGGGGTGTATTCCAATTTAGACTGCTCTTATTTGGTGTGGCCATTAATCTAACATGGAAGAAATAAAACCCTTAGGAAATTCCTTAATTTTCTAAAGTCAAGAAACTACTCTCATTTTAAAGAGAAAAATACAAAGATCTCTTACATACTTTGTAAAGAAAATAAAAACATGGAGTAACAGAACCTGAGAAGCACCTCTGCACCTATATTTCTCATTTAAATTAAGTGTTCATATGCCTTCAGCACAATACACAAATGTACAAAACTTCCTCAGACACATTCATATTAGAAGCAAATAACGTGGAGACCTTACCTATCTTTTCTACGTTCTCCAATAGATACTGGGCTAATGGAAATCCTAGGTAATGTAGAAAGGGAGTTCTGAGACTGGCTGCTGGCAAAGGAAGATGTTTCCAAGTTAAGAGGTGACTGTGGAGGAGTTATCAAGCTGGGACTGCTACATTCAGAGTGTGACAAGGAGCCTATGGAAAATCAACATCTGAGTTTTAGTATCCTGCATCTGTCATAGTTTGGAGATCTACACAGATAGAAGGAAAGACACTACACACATCTGAGATAAAAATGAGGACGGGTGGTTCACTAGCACTCTATTAACCATGTAAGGAGCTTAGGGAGACCAGGTAACTAATTTTAGACAGTGCAAACTTACTGTCCTTGATGACTGTATGTCAAATCTGTCCGCTGTAAGTGTGCATAAAACTAGAGCCATTCTCAGCAAGGACAGCAGGTTACAGACAAGCTAGACCATATGTATGTCTGAAAACATTTAGCAATGCAAATTTAAAGAACAATAACAAAAAACAGGAAAGGTGAAGCAAAATAAAAATATAATATGTAGGTTTATTTTCAGATAAAATATTTATGTAGAGCTGTTTCCTTTGGGTACAAGATACATGAAACACCTGAAAACACCAACAAAACCCCATCATGAATCATACACAGAGACAGGAAAGCTCTACAATTTCAAACAAGCTTGACATGACTTTGTTTGTGTCACCTCCCTGGATGTACCCTCCCTGAGTAATTTACTGAACAAGTGCCCTAAGAGGAACATTGTTTGCTTCCTCTGAAAAAGCTACAAAAAACAGATCTCAAATTACTAATCACAAATGAAAGCTGTTTGTAAGAACTGTATTACCCCAGCTCAGAAAACTACTGCGTACAACCCATTAAGGCTAAAGAACATTTGAGCAATGATGGCAGCAAAGCCGTGCCGTTTACTGTCACCAAACTCTGAATTCTACAGCTCTCCATCACTCCAACTGGCATTTGTATCGTGTTTTAAGTATCCTCCACCAAGCAATTTTGAGTGAAGTACTAAAATATTTTCATGGCATTTCAAAATATAATTTACAATCAATAATATAATACAATGCAAAATAATCTATTTAAAGAATCAAAGAAATGTAGGTCATCTCACTGTTAAAACTTTTAAGATCTCATTCTAGAAGAAAACTACAACTGTAAAACATAACAGCAATGCTTAGTCTTACTTTTTTTGTGCACTTTTTCTTCGTGCCGTACCTTAGAGTCAGCTAACTGAAAAATCAACTTTCATTATAAAGTTTCTTATTTTACCTTTCTGTGGCAAAATGCAAATTTTTTGAGAAAAATTGAGAACTTGATTTAACAACTGCAAAGGCTTTGGACTGGCAATACTGAAAAGAGCACAACTGAAATTACTTATGAAATAATTCACCTCTGTCAGAGCCCACAATGGACCTTGGATATCTTGGTGTTAAAGGGATCTTAATTCGTTCTGTTCTGTATTGCAAGTTACTCGAAGAACCTATTTTTAAAACAAGAAAACATTACAGTGACAAAAGTAAAAGCAACTACATTAAACAAACAAAAAAAGTAGGTTCTGCTTCTTCAGGGAGCATTAAAATGGCCTCTGAATTTATGCAGAAGCCTTGATGATTGCCCTTGCATATATTGTGCATATCATGTTTCTAGTAAATTGCCTTGGTTACACAGTCAGTGTAAACAGAGTATGATGCAGGTATACAGTATATATGCACTCTTCCTTCTTGTATGAAAAATATTTTGAATATCTTTTCATCAAATGAAATTTAACCTGAAGTCTGAATGAGAATCTAACATTTCTGTTTACTGAGAATCTATGGGACTTTCCAAAAGGCATTTAAAATATTCAGATTACATTCTGCTTGGATGAATGCATAATTTTTGACCCTGGTTGCAAACTGTTACGACATTTTTTGCTGTGGTTACAAAGTTGCCATGCTCTACTCAGATGTAACTGCCAATCATTGATTAAACACAGGAATATATTCATGTACAAAAAAGTTACGACATAATTTAAAATTTTAAAAATTTTAAATTTAATTGTTAAAATGTCATTGCTACAAAGCATGCAGTTGCTTTCGTATTACTAGGATAGGCATAAACAATCTTACATGTCAATCATGTCAACCTAGGTGTAACTTATCTTCCAACAATAAAATTTACATCAGGTCATTAATCAGCCTTGATTTTTTTCTGGGGGCTCTCTCCCTTTCTCTTCCTCTCTCCACCTCACTGAATACCAAAAATACTTTGGCTAGGTCTCCCATCACTAACACACACACAGAGTATTTTAAAGAGACTGTAAAGAGTGAATTAAGCGCAGCTACTTCCAGGGAAAACCCTTCATGATAAAACCACAAAAAAAATGAAGCAAAGGAAGACAGGAACACACAAAGCCTTTAGGCTTTGCTAGCTATGATAATCTCATAAAGCCTGTACTTAAGGAATTTTCCATTTGTTCTGTTCTTTGTCTCCAATATATAGCAGTCACACAGGAAATAAATCAGAAAAACTAGTTACCAAGTCTTGCACTGGATGGTAATGAATTTGAGCCATGAGATGCTCTTGTATGTACATTTTCAGAGTAGTCATTGGAGTGTTTATGACTTAGGTCCAAACTGAGGCGACCTTGATGCTGGGAACTACATCAAAACAAAAGGAGAATAGGGCAACAGTTAGAACTGGGCAAAGCATCTCAGCAAATAGCAAACTGGACAACAAAAAATTGTGGTTATCCCTGAGTTACTCAGTAAAATGAATGCTCCTCTGCTTCCCACTTCCCAATTGTCCCAGTATTTTATTAACTGAAAGAAGTCAGAGAAAAGATATCCTGAAGTGCTATAAAAAAAGGGGAAGGCTTTATTTGCTTTGGCAAGGACAGGAAAAAACATTAGAAATTAGTTCATTCAAAAACATAAATTTCTTTGTCAATATCAGCCAGTGCAACCGAGAGAAATCTAATCCATCACTTACTGAATAGACACAAAAGCAACTGGCACATAACTTCTACACAATAATGGTTTTGAGAACCCTGGGTCAAAGTAACATGCAACAGCAGTGTGTTTCACTGTGCACTGTATAAAACAACTACCAGAAGCAACTTCGTCCTAATGAAAACAAAAATTTAAGGAAATAAAAACTTCAAAACACCTGGGATGCAGATGCTGATGGCATATTTGGCTGGCGACTGATGGACAATTGCTGGTGTGAACTCTATGGCTCCAGGCAGTATAGATTGGATTTCTCATGACAGCAGTTACTGCAGGGCATGGTGCTAAGCTTCTTGGTACTGTACCTGCTTAAGATGATAAAAACATGTTCTTACCAACATTATTAGCATATAAACTACAGATTTAAAATATATGTAAATATTTATATAATTATGTATTATAACATTTGCATACATGAACATGTATCTAGAAATAAAAATTATCAGCATACAAATACACGATTAAGCACCATGTGACACCTTTTAAGTAGTACATGAATATTTAAAATCTGGTTTATAATTTTGCAATGAGTCAGTAATAAAGTGAATTATATTACCAAAAATGAAGTAATTCACAGTACATCATTTTAGTATGCACCAGTAACTAAAAGATTTTCTCTATTTTAAAGTATTGATCTTTTCTATACAGCAACAAAAATTCTACATTTCTCTGTGACTAGTCATCTGACAGGAACACAAGTTTTTATTTGGTACTTGAACTGACTGCAGCTAAAATTATTCTTGTTCCTCTTTTGCTGCTACAAAGACCCTGACTTCTAGTGTGTCCTATGACTTTAAATCACAGTATTTCAATATCTATTGATAAAACTTATTACTCAAGTAATAAGTTTTTTTTTAAGTACACTCATCCTTAAGTACTCCACCAAAGTCTATCTTACCATTTTCCTCTTAGATTAGTTAGTAGCATAGAATACAATAGCAAAAACTTGTTCACATTTCAAGACAATACAATCATATTGTCAAATGTAGGTTTGACTTGATTGGGTTATTATGCAAAGGTATCATGATAAGATAAAGCTTTTAGTTAGCAATAATATGTTTTAATAATTTTTCTACTATCATTAAGAGAGAGAGAAAAGAGTAAAAGAAATCAAAGAAGAGTAAAAGCTTCTTTGATCTGAGCTGTTCTTGAACATGTCTTTACATTCTGAAACTTGATTGGGACAACAGGGTTTGAAGCCATCCATTTTTCCAGACACACATGTCATTACTGCCTTCACGGTCTCCAGTTAGAAGTAAGTCTTCCATAACTTCTGGAACACGCATGAGTTGGTGCTTTCCAAATAATTGGGGGTGAACTCATAAAAATCAGTACTGTCTTGATCTGAAAATCAAGTTTCATATGCAACCACTGAAGGTAGCTACACTAAAGGACTCAACAATCCATCTGACAAGTTTACTAAATGCTTCTCAACTAGTTCAAAGCAACTAGCATATGATACCCTAACTAGCTCCTGAAGCACTCCATTTAGTCAGTGCCAATTTAAAACCTGCAAACATGAACATCAATACCAACAACTGTTTGATCAACTGAGAGAGCATGCTAACTTTTCTGTTCTACCTGATTACACTGACTTCTGGGTGAGCTGCTTGCAAGGCCCTCTTCAGCAGCTTGGTATCTCAAACACACTGGCATGTAATATTTAATTTAGGTTAACATCAGAACCAGTCTGATGTTTCAACTTGCGACGATGATTCAACTTGAGATAGTCCAAGTATTTGACTTCCTATAGGCAGAACTTAATATGTTGTGCTTTCTTAACACTAGATCTTTTTCCTTCGAAGTATTTCAGAAGTTACGTAGCTAAAACTTGGGATGCCCCCATTTACTGTTTGCTTTCAAAAAAAGCAGAAATCTTACTTGTCTCCCTAATGGATACGTTATACCTTGTTCACCACTGATGTATTCAAAACTCCTCTGCACAGAAACTGATGAAACACAAATCTTTCAGCCAGGAGTTGCTCCATTTCCTTAATGGTTCTTAAACAGGTTTCACTTCTTTACAGTCCAAAAGCTGAGCAGACCACATTCAGATCACAACAGACCATGGAAATATGTTTCCTGAGTCATGTTTGTTCTGCACTTATCATGACTAACCCCCAATATTGTCCAATACGGACAAATTCCTTGGGCCATTCCTAGAAAGTACCTATGAGTTCTGTCACTCACCAGCTGACACGCCACCAGCATATAAGGCAGCTGGCACAAAGCCGTCACTGTGCCTAGCAGACCGTTTTGGTGAATATGGTGCCCATTCCTGTAGCTCTGGAGACAGATGCTCCTCGCTAGCTGGAGCATACTTCTGCACCTACAAAAATACAAGACATTTGATTACGGAAAGTTAGAGATTCAGAAGAAAAAAATAAAATAGCTAAACATTGTAGGCAGTAAGCAACTTCAACCTTTCTTCCAGAATGTGCTCACCATCACAGTCTTTGTTACACCTTTATCTCTCAATGATGCTGTTCACCTACCTCTACCCCTTCTTCCTCCATCCTGCTCCTCTGTAATCTTTTCAGGCCAGTGTTTGCAACCTAACTGATATGCTTTCCTTCATAATAAAACACCCAGAATTTACTTTTCTCCTTTAAAAACCTGATTTCACAGGACATTTCAACTGTTGTTTCAGCCACTATTGCAATTGTTTCCTGAAGAAGACCTGGCTAACAAGACAGAAAGGGTTTTCCTCTAAGCCTGTATTTTCAGATATGTGTGGAGCAACCTGTCTTCAGTTCAGGTTTTGGAACCATCACAGCTTCTGTTATAATAACAAGTAGATACTGGTGAGTTAAGAAACACGAGAACAGCTCAGATACTGACAGTGATGCTAAAGAGCTGCAAGTTCAGGGTTCAGCATGCAGAGTTCACACATTTGAAATGTACAACACAAAACATGAGACTGAAGTACATAAGAAGTAAAAAATAATCACTGAAAAGGTACTTACAGTTTTTTATGACAGCAGTATTTTAACTGAGTTACTGAGAGCACAAAGACTAAAATGCAGAGGTACCTTCTTAGAACCAATACTTGATCACTACAATGGGTGTATTGGTAATTGTACCACCTACTACTTAGGGATGAAAGTTCTTCTAAATTTATTAACATATCAAAGTATACAAACTTAACTGTGTATATATACAACTAAGAAAATTGATAACACCCAATATGGCTACAAATTCAACTACACTGCATGTTCTATATACATATTTTTGATATTATAAACACTACTCCAGGAATTAATACATGCAGACTGGGCACTACTCGCACACAGCTTCATGTCGTAATGCACAAAGACCACTGCACCAGAGAGAAATTTTCAGAGTGAATGGTGTCCACTTTTTCAGGCACAGTATCACTTCTGCTCACCAGTCAACCATTTTAGAGTTACAAAGCTCAGCCTATTTTCTGGGAGGATGGGGGAGAAATTGAGAAAAAGTATCATAGAATCCAGTCCTAATTTAACCCTAGAATCATAAATTAACTCATACATCAAGTAACCCAAAAAAACAACTTCATAGTTCTATTGTACAATCTTCTTCTTCACCTCGAACCAACACCTATATGATCTCTGCAATATCACTTGGGCAGTATGTAGAACCAACCATAATATGTCCCTGTGTATCCTTTCTGGTCTCTTAAATAGTGAGTGTCAAAAACACCCCCTCTGTTCCAGCTAACGACTCTCTTACATGTAATTCCCCACCTACATGTGCCCTTGTCACCCAGGAACCTCATCGCTCACTTTAGAAATGTTACTATGATTATAACCAGGACAGTGTATATGCTCATGACAATACACTATAACGAAGCACGGGACTATCAATGCTAATGGATTAACTTGATAGTCTATGTAGAGCAAACACCCCGTATTCAAATGCATTCAATAGCTTGATCTTGTTTTGTCACTACATGTGTGCCAAAAAATGACATGAGAATATGCCTTCCTTCACTTCTTGCATTGCAGTTCTCAATGAAAAAATGTGACCTCTCTCTTAGCCATACTGGTCTCCAGACCTGTTCCCAAAAAATCTGCTGATTTCAGCTACAAAATTAAACCCTTACATTTGCCTTGTCATTTTCTGTGCTGGTTTTGGCTGAGTTAAGAGTTAGTTTTCTTCATGTTTTGGATTTGTGCTGGAAACAGTGTTAATAACACAAGGATGTTTTAGTTACTGCTGGGCAGTGCTTACACAGAGTCAAGGCCTTTTCTGCTTCTCGAACCACCCACCAGGGAGTAGGCTGGGGGAGCGAAAGAGGCTGGGAGGGGACACAGCTGGGACAGCTGACCCCAACTGACCAAACGGATAGTCCACACCATATGATGCCATGCCCAGCAACAAAAGTAGGGGGAAGCAAGCCAGTGGGATGCTGCTCAGGGAATGGCTGGGCATCAGTCGGTTGGTGGTGAGCAATTGTTTTCATTTGCATTGTTTGTCTTTCTCAGATTTTATTTCTCTCTCTTATTTTCCTTTTCATTACTACTATTATTATTATAATTATTATTA